TTTATAGTAATAAAAAAAAATCAAGTGGTAACCGGGTTGAGTGCAAAATTGTGTCACAGCTAAATATTATGTTTTTGGTATTTATATATTAGTTAATAAATAAATTAAATATAATTTCAATAGATCTTCAAAATCACAATGTTGTATTATTTTAATTGTTAGATATTTTTGAGAAGGTCAAGACCTCTGAGGTCAGGCATGCCAAAACATTTGATGTGTTTAAAACTAGCTACTTTTCAGGCAGTATTAATTTTATGTTAGATAATAGTTTTTTAACATATGAAAAATAATTAAATAACAACACTTGACACTTGACTTCTTTAAAACGGTTTTAAAAAGAAACGGTATTTGTGAGATGTGCCAAAATGCCATTGGTAGAAGCAGCGTTTCATGCAGTTCAGGGCAGTGGCTTCAGAAATGTTTAGCCCAAAACACAGTGAAAAATTTTTGTAAAAGTTTTAGTATAAAATACCATATAAAATATCTAGGTCAAAAATAATTTTAAAATAAATGCATGCCTCTGTCAGTTAGTTCTTTCTTTCAGAGCATGTGATTCATGTCTGTACTGGCCCAAAACAGAATAGCCAGCCTTTACTGATTCAACCCAGACAGATGTATCGCATATACGGTTTGAAATAAGACCACCTTGTCAAACTTAAAAAGAGCCTTTGTTACAATCTGCCATCTCTCTGACAACATTTATTAATATCAGCTAAATTGCATTTCACTCTGTAATGTAAGGCATCCATTGATTAACTGTCCATCACTACGCCACAATCCTTTCAACGTGACCTTATGTTCTTTTTCTCATTTTAGTGCACATGCATGGTACTTCTGTGTTTTATGCTATTTGAATGCTTGAGACAGAATTGAAGCAGCTTTGAGAGGTCAAATATGACATACAGCATAACGCACACTGGGTGCAATATCAGCACAGGAGCATGAAAAACTGTCATGAAGATGTCTTACAGAAGGCCGCCTGGCAGACTCTGGGCCTGCTCAAGTTTTTGTTATGGGGGAGGGCTCTTTCGTGACTGTGGTATTTTTAACTTTGTATAATAAAGGAGTGCCCAGTCCCTGTTTCTTGAAACTGAGCCCTTGTTATACTTACTAGCACACTGTAGGACTGGACAAAATAGTAAACAGATTATATCATATTTAATAATTTTTCACTTTAAACTTTTCACAAAATTCTATGTATATTTCTTAGAATTTTTGCATTTTCTCTTTCTCTTAAAGGAATCAACCAAACAACCACTGTAGCCAGTTAAATTCATAATGTTTAAGAAAACTAAAGTAAAATCTACTTTTTAAAAAATCAAGGCTGGTTTTACTCACTATTCTTTACAAAAATGTACATAGAAGAATTACACAGAATATTACACAGAATAATGATATTTAATCGTTTGCATTCATGCACCAATGTTACAACATACAGAAAAGTATAGAACTAACATTTTTGTATGAATGTAATAAATGAATAAATTAAGTTTTGAATCAATTCACTTACATTCAATTCAACTGAACATTCAAATGAAGAGTTGAAGTTTTGAATCAGTTCACTTAAAATGATTCACTTGAACTGATTCATGGTAAATACATTGTATTTGCCAGTTTGAACAACATTTTTGTTACTGAAAGGGTTAGTTCACTCAAAAATGAAAATTCTGTCATGATGTACTAACCCTCAAGTCCTTCCAAACCTGGATCTATTTCTTTTGTGGATTAAAAAAGAAGATATTTTGAAGAACGTTGAGGACCAAACTACATCTGGTTTACATGTTGAAAACTAAACTACATTGGAACCCATTGACTTCTGGGAGGAGAAATTTCACCAGAATACCTTCTTTTATGTTCTACAGAAGAAAAAGTCATACAGTCTTGTAAAGACGTGAAGGTGAGCAAATGATGACAGATTTTTTTTATTTAATTTTGAATGAACTATCCCTTGAAGTTTAACCAGAGATGCTATTAAAACATCTGTCTTAACAGACTTTCAACCAGCAAGTCACAAAGAATCAAAGTTAATGAGCTATATGATAAATTAAAAGTGCACTGAAATCATCCCAATATTCACAACAGTGCTTCATTTGTCAGCAAATCATATTCAGACATTGCTCAACCCTCGTTCTCTGTACAGTAACACAATAAAGACTTGTTGAATAACTCAGCTATTAAATTGCATGAATCTATAATATTATAATTCCTTTAGATGTGCTCAGAAATGTTTGTAAGCCAATGAATTGCTAAAGCGTTTAGGCTCATTTTAAGAGTTTTGTAATAATACTGAGGATTTTCTAGTTGAATGCAAAATGCCCAAGGCCTATTGAGCTTCTCTTTGATATCAGGTGGCTGTTTAAATCAGATTGTTTTGAATGATGTATTGGAGCAGCTACACAGGATGTCAACTGATTGGCTGGCGTACACATGGCGATATCATGTCAGAGGACTAGTAGACTTAGCAGTCTGTCACTTTGGGTGCCCTCGAGGTTAAACACCTAATTAGCAGATGGATCTTCCAGCCCAAGGGAGTGCTTCTGTCAGAGGAATGGGTCCAACTGGTTTTGTAAATGTCAGTCTATTTAGATATTTGTCAGATTGCGTCTAGGAGAAGGTGCCGGCATGCTGAGTGCTGGCTGCTTATCTTGGCTCTCAGGTCGGGTCCCTGTTTCGCTGGCTGTGTGTATACATTATAAGACCCTCTAAAAGCCTTCCTCTCTTTACAAAGCACAGAGGTTCTTACTAAAAGATGAATAAAAAAGACAGGTTTTGCAATTGTTTTGCAATGATTTCATCAGGATATTTCGATTTGTAGACATCGTCTCATGTGCACTTCATCAGACTAAACATTCAGAACATGCTGAAGACGCCACAAATGGCAGCACTACCAAAAAAGGAAAGATGCCTATGTTTAGGACATTCTCTGGGAGGTTGGATATGACAAAACAGACATAAGAACCAAGTTATGCTAATCTATATCTCATTCACAGGTCTTGTTGTTTACATGGTAGTAATAATGTGCCTGTATAATATCTTTAGCAGCACATTGTTGGTGGTCTTTGGGGCCACGAATAATGAATACATTCTGTCTAAATGAAAATTATATTGCATTTCTGTGTGGTATATATCACATAGGGCTAAAAAAGTTGTAATGCAGATGAACTAATATAAAGCTGTTGGCACAAAACTCTAGGCAATATTCCTAAAAGCTATTTTACTCACCGTAAAGGAGACTGTTCCTTAGCGTCACACCTGTGCACAATCTCCTGTATCTTCTATATTGCTGGACATAAACTGAGCTGTATATTTTTATTATGATTTAATATTTATTAAGTATTAAGCTTAAGCTTGTGCAATGTATTGTTAAAATAAATAACACATCAAAATGCACAAAGTTTCAATAGTATAGCCATAGGATGTAAACAATGTTAACATGATTTTAGTATGAAAAAAATCACTTACTAGCCTTTGTGCACATTTATATCCAATTTTAATGTTTAAAATAGCAACGCAATGCCATAAGCCTAAAACAACTGTAAAAATTATGATTTAAACAGCTTTACAGCTCAAATAAAACAGTGCTTTTAATAAATAATAAGGTTCACATTTCTGCTTTTACAATTGGCCCCATTCCCTAACCTTCACTTTTGCTATTTTTTTCCACAAGGAAAATGAGGGACAAAGTTGATTTCTAATCAACATTATGCTACAAATGTTGCTGATATATTGCAGTGAACCCAAAATACTCCTTTAATGTTTTTTTTTAATCCTTTGAATTGAGTATTTATAGACTCCCTTAAAAGTTTTATCTGAGATTTTTACAATCAGCTTTTTACAGCAGTCCAAGCTTATCTTCAAGAAATGCTTCGAATTCCATTAAGGAGCAAAATCAGAAAAGCAACTACTGTAGCTAAACATGAATCTTCCTGGAAAATCTTAAACTCTGAACCTTTATTGTGGCTGTTGAAGATTGTTTAGTTGAAGGAGGCTGTGGCTATCAGTCTCCATCTGTTTAGATGTTAAGTGTCTGACTGAGACATTGCCGACCAATGTGCTGGCCGCACGAGCCCTGGGGAGCACCTACTGATTCCACCAGCTGGATCACAGCAGAGATTCCTC